CATACTATGTCGAGGTCATATTCCAAATGTCCTGTTAGTTATCAGTATAAATATTAGACGCATATGATTGAAAATGCTGGTATATACAATGACAAATCTAGATTGATAGAAAAAGATACCGATATCTATTTATATTCTGTGTATGCACTGGGGCGCTTCTCGTTTGCTTGGAATAAATTTCCGAGGAGGAATTTGTTTTAAGGGGGTAGGAGTGCTATAACATCAATGCCCTGAATATTTTTCCCAAATCTGCATTACGTATTTTCTAGTATTTATATTAATAATTGTTGATTTTCAAAGAGTATTAATGTTTACCCAATCTTAGATAGTAATGTATAATAATGGTGGTTATTAATTTTGCGGAAATCTATTAATTACAATTGTTATGATTACTGTACATAGTATTTAGTTGATATTACTAATAGTTGGTTAATATTATTTAATTGTTTTAATTATTACTATAACGGTATCTTATGTATTGGAATTTATCCCAAATCTCGTTCCTCTCTCTCCTCCTCCAAAAAAAAAAAAAAAAAAATCCCACGTTCGCAGTCACTCTCTTCCATTCTATTCAAGTCTGCTAATTTAATCCCCCTGAAATCACTCCTCTCATTATAAGCCAGCTCACACACATTCTCTCTCAAATCAATTCCCATGTATCTCTTCTCCTTATTATTCCTCCCACTGTCTCTCTCTTTCCCTTCCCTTCATCAACTCACCCAACTGAACCCTTCCCTCTCTTATTCTTCTCTCCTCATTTCTCCAAAGAAACCACCAATAACCTCCACGTTCGCACAAGCTCACGCCCGCCAGCCTCTTCCGCCGCTACCGTTCCTCCCTCAGCGCCGACTCAGCTCTCAAACACCGCCGTCCCCAACCATCGTCATCACCCTCTTGACGGCAAGCATTTTGTCTTGCTCTTTGTTGAATTCGTTCTTATTATTTTTATGCAAGCATCTTTCTCAAAGTTTTTTTTCTATAAATTTTATCATCATGCCAACATTTTCCTGCATCTTAGGATTTTCTTAGTTGAAATCTTGTAGGGTTTTTCTTTAATTTATAAACTTAGCCATTCTTTATATAATTTACATAAAATTCATGTAGATGTCAAGTTTCGTTGTAATAGAGGAGTCATCCGTTGTAATTAGTTTGATGGCTTGAGCTGTAAATTACACGAGTCTCGCCTGAGGAACCCCATCCAGCCAGAACTAAAGCGACACCTGTGACCTTCTGCATCAAGTCGGGGGTCTTCCACTATGAGCCCTCTGTGAATCAGCAATTGATGGGCATAGCTGTAAATAATTAAAACTCATGACTAATTTATAGGTTCGCGGTTTCTTAGTTACTTCACTACACGTCGTTAATCCTAGTACACAATTTTTTTAGATCTTAGATACAAGATTGTAATTTGAATGGCATCCCGTGTAATTAGTTTGATGCATGAGCTGGTAGAATATTCGGATGGCACGAGTTGTTTTTCTAAATAAATACAAACTCTACTGACTAATATTGTTTGTGGTTTGCGTTGATTACTTTACTCCACAGTTAACTCATAGTACACATTATTAATTTATTATTTTATGTATATATTTAAATCTATATCCTCTTGTCTTACATGTCTTATATTTGGTTATAATTTTGTTTAAAGAAATCGAATAGATGTAACCTTCTTTTATCAATAGAGTTTGTTGTACAACGTCATAGAATTTGTTGCTAGTCAATGTAAAGATGAAGAAGACGCCAGAAGCTGTCTTTACAAGCACCTATATATATCAATCTCTGTCGCCGCCCAACTACCTTCCGTAATAGCGAGCTTCACAGTCCTTGTTTTTTTAGTTTATTTTTTTTCAGTTGTCTTTCCACCTTCTGTCTTAACTGAGGTTTTGAATGGTCATAAGACAGTGAGTTTATTGTTGCCGTTTTCTGTGATGCGTGTTGAGACTTAGCTGAGATGTTATTAAGCTTGCTATGTACCATTGATCCACTTTAGTATGTTTAATAGAGATTTGAGTGTGCATGAAGACGACTTTCGCCGTCAGAATATGCATTTATAAGCGTGTCTTTCATAGCATGGCTATGCCCTCGATATCGAGTCCCGATATAGAGGTTTTTTCCTTGTATTACTATTATGTCATTTAGAACGATGAACCCTTGATTGCATGATTGGGGAAGGGTTCGGTTATTTCATAGGTTTACAGAGATCGGGTTCCACGGTAACTCTGTGGTATTAGCATAGCATACACATATGTCAGTGGGGGGGGGGGGGTGCGGGGGCTCGGGGGGGGGGCGGCGGACGAGGCGCTGGCGGGGGTGGGGAGAGGCTGGCAAGGGGGGGGCGGCGGAAGGGGGGGCGGGGGGGGGTCGGAGGGTGCAGGGGGGGGTGCAACCCCAGCCCCCCCCCCCCCCACCCGACCCGCTCCCACCACCCACCCCCCCACCTGCACCGAAAGACCCTAACCCCCTCCCAAAAACAAAAATTTGGGGGGGGGGGTTTCTTTACCAGACCTCCCCCCACCCTGCAGCCCCCCCGCCCCCCCCCCGAAGCTGTGAAACAAAGGGTGGATAGGTTCAGTTTCCCTACATAAAGTGAGGTTAATAACGACTGCACCAGCGGGCGAACAATCGTGCAAGGTAGAATTACGGCTCTATAAAACATTGATCCCACCCCGGAATCAGAGTTTAACGACAGGCCCGTTAATGTTCATCGCCAGATTAAAGCAGCATATCCAGATAAGTCTATCCACTCCCTCGCTTCTCCTCTTTTTTTTTTATCCAATCAACACTCGCTTTTTTTTTTTTTTTTCTGGCTGAAGAAGCAACGGACTGAATGGAAAGCAAGTGTTTTGTTGTGTTTTATTTATGTTTTCCCTTTTTTTTTTTTTTTTTTTTTTTCCCCCCCCGCCCCCCCCCCCCCAGCACCAGTTCGGTGGCTGGGCCGGGACGTCGTGTAGCGCTGAGGGCGCTGGGAGCCGTATCACGGGGAAAATCACTCAGCCTCCCAACATCACATTCTCAAGCACTGTAGAAAGGGGACGGCTCCCCGCTAACCCCCCGTCTATCGGCATCAAAAGAGGTACTAAGACATCACAGTTCGGAACGAGAAGAACGAACCAAAAAGACCATAAATACAAAATAATATACAGACAAGAACCCCCCCCCCCCGAGACATCTTCTGCGCGGGGGGCGCGGGGGGGGGGGCGCGGGCGGGGGGCGGGTTTATAAAATGGAGGCATAATTAGACGAAGAATGCTAACATGTATATATAACGGGAGATATGCGCATCTCCTCTACCTTCCTCACCCATTGCAGGTTATCCTGAGTATGAGAATCTGTATATATACATGGCAAAAGCAAATTCCTGACTTGAAGCCGTTGTTCCCGGGACGGGTTTACGGGAACCGATTTATATACATGAAAATATTCTTCTTCTATTCAAATAACATTGTTAGAAAATAAGAATAATGTGTTTTCTTATGTTATCGTGAAGTAGTCATCTTGGATGCGACGGCGTTAGGTATCTATCTGTGATGCTACACGTATGTCGGGGAAAGTACCTATTAGACGTTTCGGTTATGTATTTGACTATTGTGGTAAGCCTATCGAATGTGTGTCGGAGATTGTGTATTAGTATATTAGGATCGACAATTTTAAGAGACAATACATTACTCGGTATACTACGAAGAGTTATGACGCCTGAAATAGAGTTGCCTATCTTTTGATAGGCAGCCGTCGACGTACTGAACTGCCAGGTATATGTCATATACGGCGAGCTTCTTACCAAATTTACCTCCTTTTTAGTAATAGGCCGCAGATATAAGATGTATGCTTTAGCAGTAAGGCCCTTGTTTGATATCCAGGGTCTATAGGAAATTGTCCTTTATCATCTCTAGTAACTAGTATGACGTGTGTATATCATCTTATTTCTGAATCATCATATTTATCTGATTAGCATTTTCTTCATTTTACATCAACTAAAAATTGGAATTTTTATTCTTCTTCATATCTACATTATACTACTATAATCTGCACATTGTGTGCATTTTGAGAGTGGTGTGGCTGGGAGTTTTCTGAGTCCCCTGGGTTGAATGACCCAGACTATGGGAAATACTGTCCCTTTCTTCGCAGGACCAAGGAACTACTTTTAAGGAGAGTAGATTCAGACAGGACGCTCAGGTGACCTCTTCTCATCGCTCTACTACGCTTGGTTATTGAGTCTTTTCTTGGTGAATCACTGTGCGTCACTTCAGACTAAGATGTATTTTCCTATATTTTTTTACTTTGAAAAGAAGATGATTGTCTGGATAGTGTAAGAGAAATTTTTACGTCTTTCAGGATGTGCTCCGTTAATATCTATAGCTAGCTCTTGTCTCTGCTACTCTTTAGTTACGGAATGATTTAGTGTTAGTAAGATACCTTTGGGTCAGTATACATGTATACAGGATGGGGATCAGAGCAGTGAATGTAAACCGCTAGGTTGTATTTGTTGCCGACCGAGTCCGAGCGCTCCAAATTATCGCTCGTTTTGGACCGGGGTCGTAGAGCATTGGTTTTAATTGGTACTCAGAGCCAGGTTTAGATGTAGACGTGGTCTCATCCTGTCGTACAGAACACACATTAAGATCCTAACGGAGACTGGTCAAGATTAGGACAAAGAATCAGGATATTAGGAGTCAAGGGATGTATTTCTGGAAAGGAAAGAACCTATACTATACATGCTCCATATTTTTGGTCTAATCTTAATTTGTGTTTGTATACAGGATGAGACAACAATTTCTAAACCTGGCTCTGATACCAATAAAACCATGTCACGCCCTGGGTCCAAAACGTGATAATTTGGAGCGTGACTCGGTCGGCAATACAACCATACGGTTACATTCACGCCTCTGGATCATCCTGTATACATGTATATTACCAAAGGGACTACTACATAGAGCATGTAACTAAAATAGCAAAGGAACTAGATAGATAAAGAAACTCTGAAAAAGACAAATTTCTCTTACATGTCTACAACTCTTCAAAGTAGGAAAGAGGAAAATACATCTTAGTCTGAAGTACCCCAAGTGATTACAAGAAAGACTCAATAACTGAAGCTGAGAGAGAGAAGAGGTCACTGTCGCTGGTCTTAATCCTTAAAGTACTTTTGGTCCTGCGAAGAAAGAACAATTCCCAAGTCTGGGGCATGCAAACCCCAGGGGAGTCAGAAAACTCCCAGCAAGCATAAGTATAAGTGGTAGATATAAAGAAAAGATAAATTCTAAATTTTTAGTGATAAAAGAAAATGCTAATCTTATAAATCAAAATAAGATGAAAAACTCAATTAAAGATGATAAAGGAAATTTCTATACCTGGATATCAAACAAGGTCTACCCTAAAGCATACATCTTATACCCTATACTAAAATGAGGTAAGATTTAGAAACCCGCAATATGAGAGATGAGTACGTCGAGGGAATAATCCAAACAAGGAAACCCTCGTATATACCATATATCTTAAATTGTCGATCTCTAAATATAAATTCCCAAAATTCTATACACAACAATATCAAATATACAACATCGATACTTCATCCAGATCCATACCGTGCTCGAGGGAATAATCCAAACAAGGAAACCCTCGTATATACCATATATCTCAAATTATAAATCTCTAAATATTAACTCCTAAAATTCTATACACAAATAATATAAATATACATCACCCATACTTTATCCAGGTCATACCGTGCATGCCAAATCTATCACAAAGCATAAAAACACATTATTCTTATTTTTACATGTTATTTGAATTAGAGAAGAATATTTTCATGTATATAAATCGGTTCCCCGTAAACCGTCCCGGGAACACGGCTTCAAGTCAGGAATTTGCTCTTTGGCCCATGTATATATATATAACTCAGGATATCAGGAATGCGCATATGCCCGTTTATATACATGTTACATTCTTCGTCTAATTCCCCTTTATAAACCCCATGTTTGTCGATTAAATTTTATATGACTGTGCATGAATTTTCAGTGACTGTGCATGAAATGTTATGCACTAACCACAGAGTTACCGTGGAACGACTTCTGTAAAACTATGAAATAACCGTGACCCAGAACATGTCTAATCAAGAGGGTTGCATCGTCTAATTGATGCTATAATAGTAATAGCCAAGGAAAAACCTCATATCGGGACATCGATATCGAGGGCATAGCCATGCTATGAAAGACACGCTTATAAATCATATTTTTGACGGAAGTCGTCTTCATGCACAGTCAATCCTATTAAACATCACTAAGTGATCAAGTACAACATCAGCTAATCCAACACGCATCAAGAAACCAACAATATCATCATTATGACCTTCAAAACCTCAGTTAAGACAGAAGTGGAAGACACGTGAAAAAAAAATAGAAGCTAAAAAAAAACAAGGACTTGTAGCCGAAATTGATGATAGTGCTTGTTAAAGCTTTGGCGTTTTCTTTTACATTGACTAGCACAAATTTCTATGACTTGTACAACAAACTCTATTGATAAAAGAAGGTTACATTATCATTTTAAAAAAAATTATAACCAAATAACATGTAAGCAAAATAATAATATTAACTGTGGAGTAAAGTAACATGTAAGCAAAATAATAATAATAATAATATTAACTGTGGAGTAAAGCAAAAATTATAACCAAATAACATGTAAGCAAAATAATAATAATAATAATAATAATAATAATAATGTGTACTATAGTTAACTGTGGAGTAAAGTAACAAGAAACCCAAACAAAATTAGTCATAGAGTTTTATTTATTTACAACTCGTGCCATCGAATTATTTACAACTCATGCCATCAAACTAATTACAACGGATGCCATTCAAATTAAATCTTGTATCTAAGATATAAAAAAAAATGTGTGTACTAGTTAACCGTGTAGTGAAGTAACAAGAAACCCAAACAAAATTAGTCATAGAGTTTTATTTATTTACAGCTCATGCCATCAATTTATTTACAGCTCAAGCCATCAAACTAATTACAACGGATGCCATCCATCTATTTACAACGAAACTTACATCTACATGATTTTATGAAATTATATAAAGAATGGCTAAGTTTATAAATTAAAGAAAAACCCTACCAAGATTTCAACTAAGAAAATCCTAAGATGCAGGGAAAAATGTTGGCATGAAGATAAAATTTTATAGAAAAAAAAAACTTTGAGGAAAGATGCTTGCATAAAAATAATAAGAACGAATTCAACAAAGAGCAAGACAAAAATGCTTGCCGTCAAGAGGGTGATGACGATGGTTGGGGACGGCGGTGGTTTGAGAGGCTGATGTCGGCGCTGAGGGAGGAAGCGGTGAGCGGCGGAAGGAGGCTGGCGGGCGGTTGAGCTTGGCTGGCGACGTGGAGGTTATTGGGTGGTTTCTTTGGAGAATAGAGGGGAGAAGAATAAGAGAGGGAAGGGTTCAGTTTAACCACCATTATTATACATTACTAAAAATCATAAAGATTGGGTAAACATTAATACTCTTTGAAAAATAACAATTTAATAATTAAATACTAGAAAATACGTATCGAAAAATTTCGGTTGTTACAGGCTTCTACCTCTCGTCGACAAGGCCTCGCCTGAAGTGCTAGCACGGGAAGTCTCTTTGTCCTTCCTCCTCAAATCGTAATTGGTCAATGCGTTAGTCACTTCACTATAGCTGATAGAAGATCTTCCATTTAACAAAGTGAGTACGAAGGTATCATACTCCTCATCCGGTAAGGAGCCTAATAAAATAATCGCCTTGTACTCATCCGATATCTTCTCATCAACATTCGCCAAGTCCGACAATAACTTAGTGTAGTTGTTCACATGAGCCTCTAGCGAGGTGCCTCTGGACATCTGAACTCTGAAGAGTCTTCGCAGCAAGTGCAACCTGTTCTCAACACTCTTTGTGAGATACTTATTGTTGAGAATTTCCCACATCTTCATTGCAGACGTCACCCCAATCACATCATATTTTAGCTCCTGTTCCAAACAGGACCTGATCACCCCACAAGCGTTCCTATTCATCTTCTCTCATACCGCCTCTTCATATTTAAGTGGCCTCTCGTGGACCATAATGGTCTCTTCCAAATTCTGAGCATTGAGCGCATCTTGTACGTCGCTCATCCACAAACCAAAGTTAATTTTGCTGTCATACTTCCCCACACTAATCTTAGTGTTCTGAAAACCAACTTGTATTGTACTCGCCATCGATTTGCTGCTTTCACGTTCTTCTCCCATTGCAAACTAATTCCAAATTGTAGAGAAAGAAAAAATTTGATAGAAATTAGGAACCACCCAACTGAACCCTAGATCGGATTCCAAATAGATCTCCTATCCACACGAGGAAAGCGAAATCTCCAACGACAACGCCTAATGCTATCTCCACCGAAGCCTAGAACTCCAAGAACCAAGCTTCACACAAGAATCTTCCTCCACCGAAAAACCCTAGATCTGAAATCTGGGCTCTGATACCACTTGTTGCGCGCAGCGAAAATTTCGGCAGAACTTCGACATCACAACAAGAGAGTCAGGTCGCAATAAGAATTCTTGTTTCTCAAAGGGAACAAGAATCTGAAGCCTAATATCTCATCAAAGTGGGATATTAGCTCTTCCTCTCGTCAGCTCTAGGACTACGCGTCGAAGGAACCTAAAAGCTATTACAAATCACACAAATAACGAGACAACCAATTTTTACGTGATTCAGCAAATTGCCTACGTCCACGGGGTAAGGAGGGGGAGATCTACTATTAGAGGGAGAGAACACAACTAGGGTTTACAATCACTCACAAACTAAACCCTCAAACAAACTCTCAAATCCCTCACAAATACCTCTCAAAGGGATGCACAAAACCCTAAAAGAGACTACACAAAATCTCCTCAACTGCAGCCGCTATCTCCTCTCTGCCTTCATACTTGCTCAGCCAATTGAAGACAGCCGCAAAAAATCCACTGTGCACTTGCAGCCTTGCTCGAAAACCTCCTACACTTTTCTACCGCAGCCTCAATTAAACAAAACTCCTTGCTAACCTCAAAACCCTAATAACATATCATTTATATAGGCAGGCGTGCCGTGTTGAAAACGTGGCTAAAAAAAAATCAACTTCGTCAAAAAATCAACTTCGTGGGCCTGGGCCTTCTCAGGTCCGTTCACAGCAAATAGCAATAGGCAGATCCACCTTGACCAAAGTGGGGCCATGAACCTCTTATATTTGAATGTCTTAGATTACTCCTCTTAAGTTTTAAAATATTACAATCCTCTTTAACTTTTGAGATTCTCATAAAATCTCCTTTATCTTTTTTGATATTTTAGAAAACAACAATTAGAAGTATGACACGATTTCACTAGCAAAAATGCCTCTTTCATAACTTTATCCACCCCTGTGAAAAATGGAAATATCGTTGAGTGTTTTTTTTTTTTTTGGAAAGATCGATGTTGAAAGTTTAAGGGGTTTTGTGTAGTTTGAAATTATTACCGATTGGGGGTTATCTGATTAATGCCCTTACTCAAAGGGGTTTTCTAATATTTATCCACTAAAAACCTAACCTTTCAATTCAAGTTCATAAGGCGAGAACTCATTACTAGTGATATATATTGAGAAAAATGTATACAATATTATTACTAATAATGTATTTATGTACTTTTTTAAAAATATGAAAACTCATGAGAATTTACATAAGTATTTAATTATTAATTATATAGTACCACCATTTTCTAAAAATCCTAGATCCTCCCCTGCAAACAACATAACCATATTTGCTACTCTACTTCATTTCATATATTCATTTGAGTTAGGTATTGGATGACTAGACTATAATGACGGGATGCTTCCAAAACTCAAACTGAGGAAGATGCGTGCATTGATCATGGAAGTTTGAAGGATGCATGTATTAAAAGCTTTGGGTGCATATATTGGAAGCTTGCTCTTGGGAATTGCTAAAGTATTAATTGGTCCTTGGAACTAGACAAGAAAGAGACTTTTAATTATCATATTCGTAATTTTTGTACACCCAAAAACTTCACCTCTGGCATAAAAAAAAACATGAGAGCTCATGTGATAGCAATTAATGTTATCTTATTCATGAGGGAAGTACCATAAGGTTATTTGGCACATTGGTATAAGGGTAATAACTATGTTCAAGTTTATACAAGAGTGATCTCATTATAGGGAAGTTAATTTTTGGAAAAATAAGGGGAGGACATGATACTACCTCCAAATATAGTGAAGAGAAAGTTTCGGAGGCCAAAAGCTGCTTAGAGGAAAGAGGTTTCGTGTTTTTTTTTCAGCAGCGAAATTTTGGGTCTAACTGCACAACATCGCTAGAGCTAGAAAAATATCAAACTAATAAGAAGGGTCTACAAAAATTACCAATTTGGTAATTTAGTCTCTATAAAAGGATGTCAGTTAGTGTTGAAAAAGTCATCCTCCTGTAGAGAGAGGATCTTTTAAGAGCGCTTGAGTCATTGATGTTTTCGGATTCTTTGAGTGATATGGTGTGATGGTAGTTCTTAAAGTTTTTGAGTGATCGGTGTTCTCGTGTTCCCTAAGAGGTGTGAGATAGGATTTTCAAGTTTCGTCAGTGTGAAACTTGTATCACTTGTATGAGTTGTACTAGTTTGTGAAGCATAGTGGAAGTGGAGATAGATAGTTCACCAAATCACGTAAAAAAACTCTTTCTTTTGTTTTAGTACCTACACTTCTTATTGTGCGATGTTTATAAGCTCCATAATCCCCAACATGTAAAAGGAGCTAATAATAGGCTGAAAATTATACCTTGCTGGAGAAAACTAGAGCAAAAGGCAGTTGCAATAAAATTAAAACAGTTAATTTCATTAAACTGTCAGTACCTTTAAATAGCACCTTAGAATTTCTCCAAAAATAGTACACAGCTTGCAGACACTGAAGCTCCAATTGTAACTAACACAAAACTTCTACTTACATGCTGCTTTATGGCATTATATAAAAAATATTGCTGCTTTCATTGCATGACATAGAAAATATCGCTGCATTTGGATTTGGCTGAAAACAACATCCATTATGCATGACAAATTATAGCCACCAGAAGTTGCATCAAATGAGAATTTGATAACCAACAACTATATCAAGCTTTCTTAAATATAACAAATGTTGTATAAGCAATATTGTAGTTAGTAAGTAAGATGCATTGGGCTATAATAATAGAAATTTATTTGAGATAAATATGATGCAGATACTAACTGAAGAGAAGACTCCAATCATGTGGATCAAAATATGTACATTTTATGGTACTAGTCTCAATGATAGCAAACACATGATGAAATCAGGTGTAGATTTGCAATTATTCTACAGTTAGATACTCCCTGAACAAGGCCACCAATATGAACTACGCACATCAAAATATACAATGAAAATGCAAATAAAATTTTACAGGATAGATTGTCTTTTTCCACATACCCAACCAAAAAAAGCACTAAATCAAACAATAAATTCTAGTTTAAAATCACTGCGTGCAGTAGAACAATTATTAGCAAATTACTCAAAGAAACTTGGGACCATTGCATCAAATTTACTTCTCTTATTTTTTTTTCCCCTCTAACATGTGCTCCATAAGCAATAATTGAAGTCATCATAAGCAGGATCTTCACATTCTGCACCCTGATTAATAATCTAGAAGTTTAGTCATTTTCTGTGTGTTAAATATGTTGTCTTAGCTATTCAATATGAAAGTATGTAAGCATTAAATTTCAGACCTGAAATCAAAACCCCACTTGATCCGGCATGAGATTTGAAGGATTGGACACAAAAGCCACAGATATTTGATGTAACCACAAGTTTATTTGTTAAGAAAAGAACAGCTTTCGGACTAACAACCCTTCTAAGTATGAGAATCACTCAAAATAGAAAAGGTTTCCGTTTCTAACTCTATGTAAATAGAGTGCTGTATGATGAGTTTTATTTTTTCTTATGAAATGACTTGTTCTATGTCATTAGCACTAGCTAACAGTGTTCAGTGCTCTAAGCTATGGTTGACATGGGCTCATAAAGAAACCTACACGATCAATAGATAGTTAGAACTTCATGGTTTTCAGACATCCTCCAACCAAAACCAAAGATATCTGAGTTGTCCTATGTCATTAGAACTAGCTAATGGTGATCAGTTTTATTTTTAAACAATTTGATCCCAAACAAATTTCTTGTATATTAGGAAAGAATTAGGTTGTCAGGTAATATTTACAGCATTTTAAGAAAGAATAAAAAATTTCCTTGTAATATGAATTTAATGAACTAACAAACCAGCAGGAGGCTGACAGTGGACACATCTTTCAAAATATCATGCACAAGCAGAAAACTTATTTATCATAACAATTTGTCTAGCAATTAAGGAAATAGAATTGACATATAGCACTTTTTGTATAAGTGGCATTGGAAGCGGCTCACGGGTTCATTCGAAAAAAAAGTAAAAGCAAGAAGAGGAAGAACGCTACTCTATATACTCCTCTGGTGAATATTGCTCAGATTGATCCATAGTATCAAAACTGGGGGCAGACCATCCTAACTCTTCAACAATTTTGTTCATCCTTTCCTTCTGACCTTTGGAGTCGCCTAACGCAGTGGTAAAGGGGTAAACATATGTAACTTTTGTGGCCATAGAGCGATATGCAACAACATCTCTTTTGATCAAGAACTCCATGACATCGCGTCCAAATCCCCCATCGACCTCTGCTTGTAAATATTGGCCTGATATCAGAGAGAAAAATATTTTTTATTCTCTACGAATCCAAATATATCTGCATTCTTGCATTTTTTATATCAACCAAAAAGAATGTAAAAGTTCACATAAAATTACCAAGATAGAGATATATAGTTGACATATTCTATATTGGATGAAAAAAAATCATGAAATAGGCAATAAGTATTGGAAGGCAAAAGTGGGCAAGATAATCTTCCATTTATTTGCAAGAATAAGTGAATTGATGGACGGAGAATCATCAGGATAAATGCTTGGGGTAGAGGTCGGAAATGGTTTCAAATTTTTAATCATTCAAGGAGCATTTTGACAGTGATTGAACAATCACAAAATTCCCACCACTAGATACGGAAGCAAATATGCCCTTGTGTTGAACAGTTAAAGTGAAAGAAATCCTTGGCAGTAAGTACACTTTTCCTTAAAAATGTGATCTGCCTATCATAGTTAATAAAAAGTTACACCTATAAACTAAATGTCGTCCTGGTATCCTCAGATGTGTGAATAAAGATACTTAGGAATAATGACAACTATGACAATCATGACTTCTTGAATTTGAATTTGAATAAAGATAGTTTAGGCAGAATTAGTTCTTGCGAAGAACTAATAAAGATTAAGAAGGCCTAAAGCATTTCAGCAAAATATCCCTTAATTACTTTTAAGACAAAATGAACAAATCTTCCTTAAAGTATTGGTGAACTCTCAACTTCCCCCACTAAAGTATCAATTTGCCTAATTCCCCCTTAAACTATGTATTTGTGTTCAATATAGTTATTCCCTTAAACCACGGTCAAATATTTAACAGATTGTTGATGTGACAGAGTTTTTTTTCTTCAGCAATCCAAAAAATGAATTTCAATTACAAAAAAAGTAATAAAGGATAAAATGGTTTGTATGAAAGCAGTTGGGAACCTTCCTTAGGTTGGTAAAAAAGGAGAAACTATTAAAAACTCACGAGGAAATGTAAAAAACTGTCACATCATTGATCTATTAAATATTTGACTATGAGCTAACAAAATGACCATATTGGGCACATAAACATAGCTTAAGAGGGGAAATAGGCAAATCGATACTTTAGGGGAAGTTGGGAGTTCACAATACTATAAAAATGAATTGATTATTTTTTTCATTACTTTTATAACAGGATTACAAACTCATGCTTAGTAGTGTGGAAAAGAAACTTTCGATCACAAAGTCTACGTATAGATGATTTCTTAGAGCCGTAATTTACCAAATCATGTAGTAGGTAAATGTTGATGTCAAAAGATATGTAACACTTATGACCTCTACCGAAAACTGCTTCCATATCATATCACTGTAGTATATGTCAAGTCAATATGTCTAAATTTTCCGAAGTGAAAGATACTTTAAGAGAGAGGGTATATATATATATATATATATATATATATATATGTTGGGGATTCGAAACAATCAATCGAACTCTTACCCTTCCGGACCTTGTGTTGAAAGTAGGAAAGTAGGAATAATACCACAAATAAAGATCTAATCTTGTAAAAATAGTAAAGGAGACGAACACACAGATTTAACGAGGTT